TTGATTTATTGATGATAGTCATTCTGACCAGAATGAGGTGGTATCTCATTGTGGTTTTTATTTGCATTTTTCCGATGATGAGTGATGTTGAGCATCTTTTCATATGTCTATTAGCCAGTCTATTAGCCATTTGTATGTTCTCTTTGGAGAATGTCTATTTATGCCCTCTTCCCATTTTTTAATTGGACTGTTTTTTGTTTGGTGTTGAGTCGTATGAGTTTTTTTTTTCCTCATAAATTTTGGATATTAACATTTTATCAGGTGTATCATTGGCAAATGTCTTCTCCCATTCAGTAGGATGTCTGTTTGTTTTGTTGATGGTTTCTTTTGCTGTGAAAAAAATTTTTAGTTTGATATTGTCCCATATGTTTATTTTTTCTTTTGCTTCCCTTGCCTGAGGGGATATATCAGTAAAAATATTACTAAGGGTAATGTCTGCGAGTTTACTTCCTATATTTTCTTCTAGTTTTATGATTTTGTCTTACATTTAAGTCTTTAATCCATTTTAAGTTTATTCTTGTATATGGCATAAGAAAGTGGTCCAGTTTCATTTCTTTGCATGTGTCTGTCCAGTTTTCCCAGCACCATTTATTAAATAGACTGTCTTTACCCCAGTGTAAATTCTTGCTTCTTTTGTCACAGATTAAATGACCATATAAGCATGGATTTATTTCTGGTCTCCCTGTTCTGTTCCTTTGATCTATGTGTCTGTTTTTATGCCAGTAAAACTATACTGTTTGATTACTATGGCCTTGTGGTATAATTTGATATCAGGTAGTGTGATAACTCCAGCTTTCTTCTTATTTCTTAGGATTGCCATGGCTATTCAGGATCTTTTATGGTTCCATAAAAATTTTAAGATTATTTGTTCTACTTCTGTGAATAATGCCATTGGTATTTTGATAGGGATTGCATTGAATCTGTAGATTGCTTTGGGTAATATGGATGTTTTAACTATATTAATTCTTCCTATCCATGAGCATGGTATACGTTTCCATTTATTTTTATCGTTTTAAATTTCTCTCTTCAATGTCTTACAATTTTTTTACTGAAAAAAAAATTTTTTTTTTACTGCCTTGGTTAAATTTATTCCTAAGTGTTTTATTTCATTTGATTTTTGATGCAATTGTGAGATTGTTTTCTAAATTTCTCTTTCTGATATTCATTATTGGTATATAAAAATGCATCTGATTTCTGAATATTAATTTTGTATCCTGCTACTTTACTAAATTCATTTATCAATTCTAGTAGTTTTTTGTTGCATTCTTTGGGATTTTCTATATACAGTATCATGTCATCTGTAAATAATGACAATTTTACTTCTTCCTTTCCAATTTGGGTGCTTTTTATTTCTAATCTGATTGCTGTGGCTAAAACTTCCAGTACTATGTTGAACAAAAGTGGTGAAAATGGGCACCCTTGTCTTGTTTCTGATATTAAAGGGGATGCTTTTAGCTTTTCCCCATTGGGTTGATATTAGCTAAGGGTTTATCATATGGTCTTTATTATGTTGAGATATGTTCCCTCTATTCACACTTTGCTGATAGTTTTATCATAAATTGATGCTGGATTTTATCAAATGTTTTTTCTGTACCTGTTGATATGACCATATGATTTGTATTTTTTAATTGTGTTTATGTGGTGTATCATGTTAATTGATTTGCAAATATTGAACCAACCTTGCATACTAGGAATGAATCCCAGTTGATCATGGTATACAATCTTTTTATGTATTTCTGAATTCTGTTTGCTAATATTTTGTTGAGGATTTTTGCATCTATGTTCACTAAGGATATTGCCCTAGTTTTCTTTTTTTGTAATGTCTGGTTTTAGAATCAGGGTAATGGTGTCCTCATAAAATGAGTCTGGAAACCTTACCTCCTCCTCGAGTTTTTGGAATAGTTTGAGGAGAGTAGGTGTTAATTCTTTTTTGAATGTTTGGTAAAGTTCATCTGTGAAGCCATCTGTTTCAGGACTTGTTTGTTGGGAGCTTGTTGATTACTGATTCAATTTCATTGATAGTAATTGGTCTGTTCAGATTTTCTGTTTCTTCTTGATTCGCCTTAGAAGATAGCATGCTTCTAGGAATTTATCCATTTCTTCCAGATTGTCTAATGTGTTGACATATAGTTGTTCATATTATTTCTTAAAATTTTTTTGTATTTCTGTGGTGTTGGTTGTCACTTCTCCTCTGTTATTTATTTATTTATTTATTTGGATCCTCTCTTTTTGTTCTTGATGAGTCTAGTTAAAGGTTTGTCAATTTTGTTTATCTTTTTTTAAATAAAACAGCTCTTGGTTTCATTGATATATATATATATATATATATATATATATATATATCTTGTTTACTTCTGCCCTGATCTTTATTATTTCCTTCCTTTTACTCACTTTGGGCTTCATTTTCTGTTCTTTATCCAATTTCCTTAGGTGTAAAGATAGACTATTGATTTGGGATTTTTCTTGTTTCTTTAGGAGTCCTGCATTGTTATGAATATACCTCTTAGGACTGCTTTCACCGTGTCCCATAGATTTGGGGTTGTTGTGTTTTCATTTTCATTTGTCTCAAGATATCTTTTGATTTCGTCCTTGATCTCAGTTTTGACCCAGTCGCTATTTAGTAGCATATTATTCAGCCTCCGTGTATTTGTGAGCTTTCCAGTTTTTTTCTTGTAATTGATTTCTAATTTTATAGCATTGTGGTCAGAGAAGATGCTTGATATGATTTCAGTCTTCTTAAATTTATTGAGACTTGTTTTATGGCCTTACATGTGGTCTATCTTGGAAAATTTTCCATGTGCACTTGAAAAGAATATATATTCTGCTGCTTTGGGGTGAAATGCTCTAAAAATATCAATTAAATCCATCTGGTCTAGTGTGTCATTTAAGGCCACTTTTTCTGTGTTGATTTTCTGTCTGGAGGATCATTGGTGTCAATGGGGTGTTAAAGTCCCCTACTACAATAGTGTTACTGTTGATCTCTGCCTTTATGTCTGTCACTATTTGTTTTATATATTTAGGTGTTCCTATGTTGGGTGCATAAATGTTTACTAGGGTTATGTTCTCTTGTTGGATTGATCTCTTTATTATTATGTAATATCTTTCTTTTTCTCTTATTATAGTCTTTGTTTTAAAGTCTATTTTGTCTGATATAAGTATTGCTATTCCAGCTTTTTTCTCATTTCCATTGGCATGAAATATCTTTTTCCATGCCTTACTTTCAGTCTGTGTGTGTCTTTTGATCTGAGGTGGGTCTCTTGTAGACAGCATACACAGGGACCCTGTTTTCTTATTCACTCAGCTACCCTATGTCTTTTGATTGGAGCATTTAGTCCACTTACATTTAAAGTGATTATTGATAGGTACATAGTTATTGCCATTTTATTCATTTTTTTGATGTTCATTTGTTTGTTTTCTACTTTCTTCTGCTTAAAGAAGTCCTTTTTACCATTTCTTGTAATACTGCTTGGTGGTAATGAATTCCTTTAGCTTTTTCTTGTCTGGGAAGCTCTGTATCTCTCCTTCAATCTTAAATAATAGCCTTGCTGGGTAAAGTAGTCTTGGTTGTAGACTCTTGCTTTTTATCACCTTGAATATTTCCTGCCACTCCCTTCTGGCCTGCAAAGTTTCTCTTGAGAAATCAGCAGACAGGCACTCCCATGTGAGTTACTAGTTGTCTTTCTCTTGCTGCTTTTAGGATCCTCTCTTTGTCTTTAACCTTTGCCATTTTAATTATGATGTGTCTTGGTGTGGGCCTGTTTGGGTTCATCTTGTTTGGGACTCTCTGTGCTTCCTGGGCTTGTATGTCATTTCCTTCACCAGGTTAGGGAAGTTTTCAGCCATTATTTCTTCAAATAGGTTCTTGATCCCTTACTCCCTCTCTTCTCCTGGTACTCCTATGAGTCTTCAGACTGAAAACATCCAGGGAGAAGTTGGCCACATACAGGGGAGGAAGAAATCAGGAGTGGGGCTCTGGGAGGGGGAAGTGTGGTGGGGGAAGTAATGCCTCGTGATACTGTCAAAAAAGTAATCAAAGGAGTCCCTGGATGGAGATAGTGGATGACCACATTAAACAAGGCTGTGAAGGCCTTCTGGCAAATTTTGTAGTTTTACCTTTTCTTAATACAACACAAATTTTGCTTGTTTATGTCTTGTTTTGATGCAGTTCTCTCTGCCTTCCAATCTTGGTAGGGAATGGACATCAGGGTAGGTGCCATCCCCTACATCTCATTCTTTAGGGTCTCTTTTTGCACATTTACTGGAGATAGTGATGACTTTTAATTGATCTGATGCTTCCAAGGATTCTAGCATTTGTTTTATCACAGTAGGAGTTTCATGATAAAGAAAGTGGCAAGCATTGGTACAAGGACTGAGAAAGGACAGAGGGGAGCTCTCACCTAGAAAATCATTACCATTTTTTTTGGTGATACAAATTGAAACAACTGGTGTTCACTGTCTGTCAGAGTAGTTCTTTTGACAAATGTAAGCTGTGGTCAAGACAAAGATTGCTAAATAAGTAATTTGTGAGTAGGAAAAAATGGGTCATAATGTCAATCTTTCTGTTACAGGACCTATTATTTCAACTCCATGTTATTGTTATGGAAAAAGAATTGTACTGATTAATTTGTTTATTAACAGAAAGAAAATGTTATTGCTGTTAAGTAGCTACTTTGTATATACAAGGAAATGTTTTTCACACTAGAAGGAGGAGAAATCTTGCAATTTAATGCTCCTTTTTTCTCAAAGAAACTGATGATGTTTAGCAGATGGTGCTGATAAATATCTGCAATTGATCATTTTTGTGCTACTGCCAAGTAGCAGTTAACTTAGAACTATTTAAACCTTTTTATCAAAAGCTACCTTAATTGTATCCTTTGTGTGTAGTTTTGTAATTAGAACAATATATTTACTATAGAGTGCTGTTTTATCTTCTTTTTTTGAAAGTATGAAGTTGTGGCAAAAAGTACAAATATTTAAGGAATAAGGACCAAACAATTTAAAATATATATATATATTTTATTGTAATTTATTGAACATTTAATATATCATTAATTTTCTTGGATTTAACCCTAGGATATGATTGGTTCTTAGCAAAAGGCTCCAGTTCACATTTACCAGTAATAGAAAGCTTTACTGACTAAAAATACAGTAGCAAACCAAATGAATTCAAATATTTTCTTTAAAAAATAATTTTAAAATTTATTCTATTCATCTAATGACTAATACAATAACGTCAGATACACTAGCTGAATATAATTGGCTGTTTTTATACAGCACTTATCTTTTAGTCCACAAGTATATTATTAAATGATAGTGAACACTCAATATAACCATTTTTACAGAACTAGAAAATAAATATCGAAGAAAGATTCTACAACTCATCTTTCATACCCAACTCTGACAGCCTAACTTGAAAGAGGATAAAGCCAATGACTTCCCTCACAAAAGCTCATGACTAAAGTCGCTTTGCTATCAAAAATCTGTTTTTCTGATCTGTTATGAGCATTGAGACAAGATTCAAATTCCCAAAGAAAGAAGCTCAGTGCATATGGTGGTTGCCTGCTCAGTAAAAGTGAGTACTGCATTCAAAATTATTGCATCCCAGGAATCAGGTCAGCCACATTCATTGAAATTTCCTCCACTCCAGTGTGGCAGGAAGTCTCAGTGTCATGAAGAATCCTCTTGTCTTCTTCAATGCTTATGGCCATAGCTTTCCACCCCAATTTTCTTCCCACTGCTAATTCTGAAAAAAAGAAAAATTATTAATCAGAATATTACTTATCAAGTACTACAGAAACTACTAACAATATGAGCTGCTTGTTGACCCATCAGTGGCTGTTTATTGGCCAAGATTGTACATACAGTACTTGTAACTGGAGCACTAGATGCTAATCACAATATCTAGAGAAAAGGAAAAGGTTTCTTTTGTAGTCAGTACGAAAGAATTCGTCTGGCTGCAAGATCAGAGCCTATGAAGCATCTTGAGCATTATTATTTATAGAGTGGATGACAGTATTGTGTTCAGGGCAGTGAAATTAAATCCCCTACCAAAGTGGGCCAAGATCAGGTGTCAGCCTGTGACAGGTGTAAACACCAAGGACAAAACAAAAAGAACAGTTATGTCATCAATTTTGGAACAGTAAACTGCAAACAGACACTCTGAAATGTTACCTGTTATTTAGTACCATAACCACTAGCCACATGTGGCTATTTAAGTTTAAACTTAATAAAATTAAATAAAATAGAAAATTCAGTTCCTCAGTTGCATTAAGCACATTTCAGTAGCCAGCCGCACGTCTGTGCCTGTCACGCCTGTGTTGAGCAGTGTAGATATAAAACATTTCCACCACTGCAGAAAGTTCTATTGGACAGACTTGATCCAGGACTTAAATCTTTTTCCCGTGTGTGTGGGGGAACCTCCAAAAATTTGTCATGGTAACCTGTATTGATCAATGTTTTCTGATCACCTCATACACTGTAACACCAATGACTGAGAGATCTTTACCACCACAACTCTCTACCAAAACACATAAGAAAACCAGTCAAAAATGTCTTGGCAGGAGCAACTTAAAATATCAAATAACCAGGACAAGAGAAAAACAAATATGGAAACACTGACTCATTTTTTATCCAAACATGTGTTTCACTTATGAATCTATGTCCTATATCAGGCCAATGCCATTTTTGAGCACTACTTCATCACCTATTCTTATCAATTACTATATATATTTTAAACAAAGTTATTTTTACATTACTAGCATGATATAATTCAATTTATTTAGTGATAAAGCCACTATACCTATGCCAGGGTCAACATAAATTGCTACCAGAAAATGCTGAGAAAACCCCAATTATAGAGGAATCACCAAGAAAGCACAAGATATGGGTAACATGGCTAATAAAAGATTCACATGTAAGCTAAGACAACCAGATATAATAGCATTATTGATTTTCTTTTGACTATCAACTGTATAAAGTCTAAAATGTGGACTTTTTATTTCACATTTGCTTTTCCACTGTGTTCTGATAAGCATGAATCTTCCCCAAGTATAATTTAAATACAGCTGATTACATTAGTAGGTGATAAGATTACTCCTGATTCATTTATTTGATTTTCAAGGTTGGCTGACAAAAATCACACTTGAAAATACATGACTTTAACTCATCAGAATAAAAGCAAGTAATTCAATGAAGAGGACAAACACTCAATTAAGAATATATAGTTTTCATAAGAATATAGCTTTCATCATAGTTTATAACCAATAGATACTAGTTGTACATAAAAATCATGAGCCTGAGGTATGATAGTATGTTCCCATTTTGATTCAAAAGCAACTTCTGTACAGTCTGCTAGGCCACAAAATAGCAATGAACTGCACAGAGAGCATATAGATCACTGCAGAGTGTGGTCTTTATCCCCCAACATAGCTTGAGCTGACAAAAACTAAAAATCCTCCCCTCAAAACCAAGTTTTGGGAGGCAAACATTGTAATTAAACAAGGAATTGAACTCCCAATAAGTCAGTAGTTATCAAAATGTGGTTTGTCCCTTATCTGAATTCCCTCTTGAAAATGACTCTTTCTGTCACCACCTACCTGTGAAATATTATTATAACAATAATGAGTCATCTGTCAAGTCAGCATTTAAATTGGTAAACATGTGTGAGACCATGCATCCCTGATGGCTATGGCACCATGGCCGACAGGGCTAGAAAGGAGACAGTTTTATTTTGAGCAGGGGGCAAAGACAACGCAGCACTTCACAGCTACATTGTAACTACAATAGATCCTGCATCAGTCTAGCAACAAAATAATTAGATACTAACAGTGTCTTAAACAGCAATACTGGGGAAGAGCTGCTCTTATAATATCAGAAACTGAAGTTCCTGACATGTATTTTTCTCAGGCCAGTCTACCCTTTGCCTTGCATTCTGAAAAAGAACAGCCTATGTTACCAGTCAGTCTCTTATATGTTACAAAAAAACATGTGTACAATTTCCTTCCTTACAGTATTTCGGAGAGGAAAATGTTAGTTCATATCAGAATTGCAATAAAAAACCATTTGATTTCTGACTCTCATCCCTACCTTTGGAAGAGGCACATTAGAAATTCGTTCTATTAATTCTATCTAAACACAGATATTATTGTACCAAATCTTAGAACAAAGTGCACTGGACTGAAGAAAGAGGTTCATCTTAGTTTTTGTACTATCTGGTATAGTTGTTTTTTTCCTTGAGTTTACTCTGCTAGCTTTATTACAAATACTTAGACATGATACCAGTTTTCACTACTTTAGCACAGAGCTTAAATAAGAAGGTTAAAAAAAATCTGGCTATAATTTTTAGGTATATCAATTAGAAAAACATTACCCTCTTTCAAAATTACTATAAGATATTGACCCTTTCGAGGATCAATTCTTCCTTCTTCACCAGAATTTGAAATGGATTTGTCTCATGAACTTTTTGATGACTTGCAACAGATCGATTGGTATTGAGGCAGAAAGCAACACAACCTTTAAAAAGAGACCGTATGTTGACATATCAATTAAGTCGATATAACAGTTTTCGTAATAATACTTGGAGAAATAATGTTTGAGACCAAGCGTCCCTGTCTTACTATAGAAATGAGCCAGACAGAGATTGTAGGAAACAATTGCTGTCAGCAGGGGAAAGGACAATATAGCACTTCACAGCTATATTGTAACAGTTAACCCAACCTGCCAGCTACAGAAAAATCATGTACATACCTGTATACTTGTATTTCCTTTCTGGTAAACCATGGATTGGATCCTTAATCCCTTGGCTCAACATATTTATCTGCTTCATCCAAAACAAGCATCTTGATCCATTTTGGAAAGTTAAAAAAAAAGTCTTACTTAAGTGTGGTTTTCACATAGACTTTCTTCCAAAGACTATGGTATGGAAGAGGAGGTGGAAGAGGAACTTTATAGGGGAGAAACCTCACAAATACTACCTCAGCCAGGTGATCGAGGTCAACATCAATAGTCATAACCCTTGATCTAATGAGATGAAAATGGCACTCCACCTCTGTGGTCTTCCTCCCCAAAACCCATAACCCTTAAATCTAACCTTAAGAAAAACATCAGACAAATTTCAAAATGAGGGTATTCTACTAACTGTTGGACTAATACTCCTCAAAATTGTCAAGGTCATAAAAAAAACAACAAGGCAAATTTGAGAAACTATTATAGCTAAGAGGAGACATGACAATTAAATGTAATGTGATATACTGGGTGGGATCCTGGAACAGAAAAAGATATTATGTAAAAACTAATGAAATCTGAAGAAACCTTGGACTTTAGTTCCCAATAATGTATCAATGTTCATTAATTTTAACAAATGTACCATACTAATCTAAGATGTCAATAATATGGGAAACTGGGTATAATACAAGGTATATGGGAACTCTATGTACTATCTTCTCAATTTTTCTATAAACCTAAAGCCATTCTACAAAATTATATCTATTAAAGAAAGTCTTAATATCACCTCTAGGTATTCATGCCTGGCAAATGGCTTAAACAATCATGTGAATTATTTTTCTTTCCCATGCCCCAAACATCACTGGTTAAAAAATGCCTTAGGAAACGCATGGCAATACTTACAAAGATATCTTTTATTTAACATATCATGTTCTCTCTGGAGTATCAATAATCAGTATGTGCTGTGAAAGCCTGCATTTTTTTGCATTTCCTTCTAAACACTGATTCCACAACACAGGCATGACAACTTACTCCCAGATAGTATTCAAGTACCAGAATTGCCTTTTGGGTCTAAAAGTCAAAAGCTTAAATTATTATGTTGTAGAAATAAAGGTTCCATCAAATGACTTCAGAAGCACATGGCTAAATGCTGAACTGTTCATATTTGGTTTAAAATTCTGGTCTATAAACAGCTTTTATACAGCACAACACAGAATCACTTCCACATTTACAACTAAACAAACTGCTTCATGATAAAATCCCTTTAGGTGTCTCATTTTTAATTAGATTTTTATGCCTTTTCAAACTTGGGATCCTCACTTTCCTAAAGATACCATCTAGATAATTAAAGAACCAAAACAAACATTTCCAACATTTTCTTCAGGGTGTGGGGAGACCTAGTGTATGGGTGAAGGACACAGATTTCAACGTTAGGGGAATGATTCAGTTATATTTAGCCTTTATGGGTGCATCCATGACATGTGAAAAGTTCTACTTGGTAATAAAATACACCAGCAGAAAACGGTGTCAAAGAAAAAAAAAAGCAGATTTCAATGAGGCTTCAAAAAATCTTGATAATCAACTTGATAAACTTGATAATCAGGAAACAAAAAAGCATTCTCTACCTTGGGTCATGTCTGAACTTTGAAAGCATTGGTCCCAGCTTCCTCCTTGAGGATGAGACACAGAGATTCCTGGCAGAAAATTTCTGTGGCTGAGGCCCTTTGAGGGGAATTTGATCATTGTACCTGAAAAATTGTTGTGTGCTCATTTCCAGCCTCAAACTCTGGGAAGTCTGACAGGCGGAGTAAAAAGTCAATGTGGTGTGCAGTCTGACCATCTTGGAAGAGAAAAGCACAACAAATGGGAAAATATCACTTTCATGATAAATGCTTATAGGGCATGTGCTCTACTAAACTGCTGTGGACTTGTAGGAGTCAAAACTGAATTATGGTATGACAAAGAGGTCACAGAACCGTGGAATGAAAACATTTGATTGGCTCATGTTAGGAGAGCACTAAGAACTAAGTAATAAGCCTTGTCACTTGTCACTCAGAATGTTCCCACAAAATAGAAAGACTGTCCACTGCAGGCAGGATTGCTAAACTGGGAAGGCATTAGACTAGATGACTTCAAAGGAGCTTCTTTTCAAATTTAAGATTTGAATTTTATAACTTGATATGAGGAATGAAAAATGTACAGGAGAACCCAAGGCCACCCCAATAAATAAGACCAAAAGTAACAGCAGTTGTGTAAACCTGAAATAGATGCATTTGTTTGTTTAATAACCAGATAGTAAGGACTTTCTAGGTACTAGACACTTTAGGACGCAGCAGGGGAACAAAATAAAGTCCTTGCCCTTATAAAGCTTACCTTCTAGTGAGGGAGACAGATGGCAAACAAGTAAATGGGACTCCTGTTTCATATGGGTAGCCAGGGAAGGACTCCCTGAATTGGCAACCACTGAGCAGAGACCTCCATAAAGTGAAGAAGGAAGCTCTACTTAAGTTCAATTCCTGGATGTGGAAAAAAAAAAAAGGAAGAATAATAGTTAATTTAAATAAATCTCACTTTAAAACACCCTTACTAGAAATTTCCAATAAACTCAGTGTTATATTTTTATGTATCAAATGTAAGAAGATAAAGGGAAAAGCCAATGTTATACATTTCAGAAAATGTTTCTATGTCACAGATTAATGGTTCTGCATTATTTCTATAAATTCTAGATCTTACTCAGCATAATTATGTATTTTGTCACTTATATTTATGTAATTAATTGCATGACCATGAGCCCATTTTAGAAATATGCTAATATGAAAACTTTCAATGATTCCTCATAAATTGAAGCACATACATTCAACAACTTAAATTAGTTCCTTGAAAACTACCAACTACCAAAAATAAACTAATATGAAATAGATAATCAGAATAATCTTATAACCATTAAAAAATACATTTGTAATTAAAAAGCTTCCCTCCCCTGCAAAAAAAAAAATCTTCAGGCCCAGGTGCTTTCAATGAAGAATTCTACCACTTAAAGAATCAACATCAATTTTATACAATCTCTTCTGGAAAACAAAAGAAGAGGAAATACTTTCCAACTCATTTTAGGAGGACAGTATTACCCCAGCACCAAACATAGACAAAGATAGTACAAAAAAAAATGGACAAAGAAGAAATGAAAACTAGAGACCAATATCTCTCAACAAGGGTTGGCAAAAATGCAGAGAAACTGGAATCTTTATACATTGCTGATGGAAATGTAAAATGGTACAGCCATTTTGGAAAACAGTTTGGCAGTTTTTCAAAAAATTAAATAGCGTTACCATATGACCAGCAATCCCATTCCTACATATGCATCTAAAAAAAAAATGAAACCATATGTCCACACAAAAACTTATAAACAAGTGTTCATAGAAGCATTATTCATAATGGCCCAAAATGAAAACACAACCCAAATGTCCATCAACTGAAAAATAGATAAACAAAATGTAGTCTATCCATACATAGATATAGTATTCAGTCATAAAAGGAATGAAATACCTTGGTTTGTGAGCATAATTCGTTCCGGAAACAAACTACTTGTATTGCAAGACATCACTCGTTTACCATGTTAAAATGTATTAGAAATGTTTGTTCGTCTTGGGAACACTCAAAAACCACATTACTCGCAATCCAAGGTTTTTCTTTACTCATACATGCTACAGTGTGGATAAACCTTGAAAACATGCCAAGTGAAAGAAGCCAGGCAAAAGGACCACATATTGTATGATTCCATTTATACGAAGTGCCCAGAAAAGGCAAATCTATAGACAGAAAGTAGATTAGTAGTTACCAGAGGCTGAGGGAGCAGGTGAATGGGAAGTGACTGCTAACGGATATGACATTTCTTCCTGTGGTGATGAAAATGTTCTAGAATTAGATAGTGATGATGTTTGAACCTTGTGAATATACTAAAAAACCATTAAATTGTATAGCTTGGGGTAACTTTTATGGTATGCGAATTATAAAAAAATACTGTTTTTAAAAAGAGTAGAGAGAAATAGGAAAACCACGTTGGGGATTAAAGCATTTTATCAAGAAAGACATGATGGTGGTTTTCACTTACGGGTGCAGTGGTGTTGGGAAGAAAGAAGTAATTAGATTTAAAAATGCCGGGGGTGCCAAAAAAAGGTATATACATGACTTGTATTCATCTTCTGTTATTGGTATATATTGAGTATTACAATTTTAATACAGTTTTTTCCTTTCTTAAAATGTGTATACATGTTTTTGGCACCCTCTGTATGTAGGCAATGTATTTAATAGCCCTTGGTGATTGCTTAGATGTGGGTGGAACAAGAATGCAGAAGAGAAAGGAAGAAATAATCAAAGACTCTCAAATTTCTGGCATTAACTTTATGAGCAATGATACTATGTATAATCTACTGAGTTATGAGGATCTGTAGGAAAAGCAAGATTCGTGCAGGACTCTGAGCTTGATTTCAAATATTGAGTTCAGGGCACCTGTAGCACACCAAGTGAAGATGTTGAGTAGGCAGTTGAATACACATGTATGATACTTAGAAGAAAATTTGAGTTTGAAATAGAAATTTGGGGGTTGTCAACAAAGCTATAGGAATTGGGAGCCAACATGAAGTGTTGAGGAATTCGAATATCTAAGGGTCTCGTAATCCAGCAAGAGACTCAGAAAGAGAGGAGGAATGAGTAAAAGGAAAACCAAACTCACTTATAAGGGGCCATGAGAGCCAAGAGAAGAATTTATTTCTAAAAGGAGGGAGTGATCTCTGAAAGGAGCTGGCAACCTTTTTCTGTAAAAGGCCTGAAAATAAATATTTTAGGCTTTTGCAGGCTGTAAAATCTCTGTCCCATATGGTCTTTGTTTTTCTTTTACAATTCCTTAAAAATGTAAAACCCGTTCTTAGCTCAAAGACCATATGAAAACATGCTGAAGCTGGATTTGGTCCACATGCTGTAGTTTGCTGGAACACCGGTCTATAGTATTAAATGTTGCTAGGAGGTCAAGAGTCCAATGGATTTAGGGACAAGGAAGTTATTGGTGACCTTAGCAGGAACAGTTTTAATATAGGGGTGCAGACAGAACCACAAAAGAAGTGAATTGAGAAGAGAATGGGAAGCAAAGAAATGGAAACAGCAGGGCAGACAATTCATAAAAATTAATTTTAAGTGGGAGAAGAAAAAGTATTAGGTGTGGGGAAGGGTGGGACTTACAATTGTTCCCTTAGAAGGCAGAGACTGCAGAACATTTCAATGCTGATGAGAAGGATTTAGTAAAGAGGGATTGTTTAACCATGCAGCTGACTGAAAGGATAACGGATGATACAGATCCCTGAGATGGTGAGAGGGGAAGGACCAGAGCATGGATGGACAAAGGGGCTAGGCTTTAATGAAAGTTGGATGGATGCAGATGAAGGTGGGTGGGCAGATTTGCTGGCAGGAGGCTCAGAAGTTCAGGTATTCTATTTTCTCAATAACACTGAGATCGTTTGTTGAGAATGGCTTGTATGAGATATCACAGTTTTGAAAAGGGTGAAGAGGATTTGAAACAGCAATTGCATAAAATAAAAGAATGAGATGGTTGGAGGAACGCAATGGACTTGCAGTGCAGTGCTGAAAGCCCAGGTGAAGTTGACTACCATGAATTAATTTTAGTATCGAGTCTTTCCCAGTGTTCAAGTTCTCTAGCTCTTCTAGGAGGCTTGCTGCAGGCACAAAGACAGATTGTTAGATTTATCTGTAGTTGAAATTTTCCCTGGTGGATAATAGCTAGTAATAGTTGATAGTATATATAAACCTTGGGGTGGGGGAGTAGGTTTTTGTTAGTTATGATATTATAAATAAACCAAGGCTTAGATATTGTAATGACTTGTTTACACTTGGGTAGTAAATAGTAGTAGATAAAATTAGGGCTTGAATATTCAAAATCCCATATTCCTTTCTAGGTGGTAAAAAAGTTTCATAGTATTTTGGAGATAAAAAGGGAAAAGTCTCCAAAAGGAATTTTAGGGAATAGTTTATAAGTAAACTACTTTAACACTGTAAACACTAAAGAAATTAAACAATATACAAAGAAATATAAAACTTCTACAAAGCTTGGCCTTTAGTTGTTAAAACACACTCAGTCTACCTCACTAGAAACAACCACTGACTGTAAACCCATTTTCTGGCTTTAACCATCACCCCGTAGTCATTTTCTCTCCCTTGGTGTTTGGTAACGATTCTTCCTGTTGGTAACACAATGAAAATGAAAAATCACATAAAACTATACGTGGGGATCAATGAATGAGACTGGTATATATATATGTGATCACATTAGCCGAGTTTACAGGTATTTCATTGGTAAAATCGGTATATGGTGGCCTAAAAATATTTTTTTTAACTATTATTGAACTGTATGTTTCTTTTCACTGAAATTCAAGATATCCATAATATTCTTAATGGCATGGCTTTTTTCAGTGTAAAATTAAAATTTTAAAAATTAATTATCTAATGATTTAGGCCAAAGATTCACACTTACTAAAGGTCAAATTATAATTGCTAATAATAGCTAAAATTAAATAAGTACTTTTAATGTCCCAGGTGTTTGGTAGTTACAACATAGTCATGGGGATGTAAAGGAAAGCATAGAGAATATAGACAATAAGATGGTAATAACTATGTATAGTGCCAGGTGGGTACAAACTAGTCAGGGGGATCACTTCTTAAATTAGATAAATATCTAACCATTATGCTGTAAACCTAAAATGAATATAAGATTAATATTGAATGTCAACTGTAATTGAAAAATTAAAAAATGGGGGAAAAAGGTGAAGGGAATAAGAGGTTCAAATTTCCAGGTATAAAACAAGTCATGGGGATGTAATGTACAGCATGGGGAATATAGTCAATAATATTGTGATAGCATAGTATGGTGTCAGATGGTTGCTGGACTTAACCATAGTGATCACTTCTTTAGGTATATAAATGTTGAATAACTGTTGTGTACACCTGAAACTAGCATATAAATGTTGATTAACTATTGTATACACCTGAAACTGTATGTTAACTATAGAAAAATTCTCCATCCTCTCTGAAAGATAAAGTTACTATTATCGTTAACTAGATTCATTCTAACAATGAAAAGGAATTCCCTGGAGTTGCTCTTTGAATTGCACACCTGATGAAGGTCAGCAGAACTGAAATGGGTTTTTAAAGCATCCTGGCCCCGTTATTTACTAGTGTTGTAACCTTGGTCAAGTCCCTTTGGGTTTCATCAAAACATGGATTATCACAACACTCCCCACACAGGGAATGCTATAAAAGCATGCTGTAAATGGTTAGGAGGTGTACAAATGTTATTCTTGCCTAGGGTTGCCAGATAAAAAACAGGACGCTCAGTTAAATTTCAGACAAATAACAACTAATGCTTTATATTTTCATTTTATTTTATATTGGGAACATGTTTATACTAAAATTATTTAATGTTTAAATTGGGGACATATTTACACTAGAAAATTATTTGTTTATCTGAAATGTAAATTTAATTAGTGTCCTGTATTTTTAATGCTAAATCTGGAAACCCTATTCTTGCCCGCATGGCGAGGGGAGCATAAACGATGGCAGGCCCAAAGCCATTTTCTCCACCTCGTAAATGGAGAAACTGAGGCAAACGGCAGGCTGAAGGATGAACCTAGGGAGGGGGAAGAAAGAATGGCTGGGTGTAGGACTCCCTCTCAAAGGTGGAACTGAACACAGAATCCCCTAACAATCAGAATCTTTCCTCTAGTTCTCCTCCTCCCCTTCGACCGCCGGGTACCTCTGCCCAGCATCTCTCACTGCTCAGGAGGGCCAACCAATCCACGCCCCGCCCCTGGGCGGGAACGAAACCGACCCTCCAACCCCCATCCCCACCCCCATTACCTACACCGCAGCAGCTGCAGCAGCAGCAGCAGGCTCAGTACACTCTGCCACCGGTTCCTCTCAGTCACCACCAGCAGCATCGACACTACAGAGGACGCCGTCCTGTCCGTGAAGCCCGGCCGCTTGTTGATGAGAGGCTGTGTCTCAGATGTCACCCAAATCATCCTGTACAGAAGTCTCTTGTCCTCCTCTGGCCACCGTCCAGGTCAGGACCAAGAAATAGGCCAATCCAAGCGAGGATTCGGGAGGGCGCGTCACCGCTAAAACCAATCAAAGAAGAGAGCAGGGTTTCAGTGGCGATTGGCCAATCGGGCTGCGTGCCCGCTGGGGTGTGGTCTCTGCTTCCTCCACCCCTTGGGCTGGACTCCCACTCTGAAGGAGTTTGCTGTGCGCGCACGGTTGTTAGGCTCTCGGAGCGCTAGATCCTTATGTCTAGTGGTCTGTGGGTTCTTCCTCTCTGGTGGGCTCCAGGGCGAGAAACACTTCATGACCTTTAATCGTTAGAGCCTCGGAGGGCAGAGGGTAGCTGCTGTAGGGTATAAAAAGGTGTGGGGGTAAGAATACAAAATTTTATAATGTTTTCAAGAATGTGAAAAACATTTAAAAGAATTCTCTTAATCATCTCAAAATCAAAATTACAGAATTTTTAATAGACAATTCTTTTTCTATAATGCTATAGATCTGCAAAACCCAGAATGTACCATATGATCAGTCTCCTTAGCAATGTGGCTCGTTTCTAGTGATCCAAATTCACTATTGGCTCTGACTGGGCATCAGGATTCTTGACTACTACCAGTAGTAAGCACCTCATTTGGTTCCTCAGAAATACTTTGTGACCTTTGAATAGCTACCGAAGGGAGCCGCGCGACAGTCTCCGATCTGACAGGTGCTCAAAGACGCTCCTAGGACTGACGGGGAGGAGGGCCAGCAAGGGTGCTGTGCCACAGCCTTTCCAGGGTGGAGCCCTGCCTGGTGCGCCTGACAGCTGGCAGACAGAGCAGTAGCGCACGGCAGTAGCGGCACAAAGGAAAAGGCCCACACGGTGGAGATATATGTATGCACATGCGTGCCCAGCCCCGTCTGTGCACAGCCCTCACGAGCGGGTCCAAGTGAGGGCGTGTCCGGTGGACGCTGATAACTGCGTGAGACAACCCCTAAAGGGGCGGAGAGGGGGGGTGACGGTACAAACTCTACCCGCCCCCACGCTGCCACAACAGTCCCTCAAGTCCTGAGTCAGGACGAGGGGGAGGGCCGCAGAACGTCACCCAGCCCTCCTTTTCTAGCCCTGGCGGGACGGCTGCCCTCGCAGGCAGCCCCCTTCTCGCCTCGGCTTCTCCGCAGATACCTGGCGGGGAAGGAGGAGGGGCGAGCCAGGAAGGCGCGCGCCGGGCTTTGAGAACCCCAGTGCTGGCAGGAGCACCTATGTCGTGGTCTCCCCTCCTACACAGTGACAAGGACACACTGCGAATCTCCCTCACTCCCGGGGTCGGCGCACGGGCTTCTGGCAGGGGAAGGGGGGCGCAGTTTACGCACGCGAAAACGGGCGGCGCTCCGGCGCGTGCGCGCCTCTCCTGGAGCCCCTGGCGCCTCCAGCCGAAGGGAAGAGGTGGGCGCGGAGGCCGGTAGCACCGCGCGAGCCGCGGGGCGTGGAGTGGGCGGCGCGGAGCAGCCCTGGCAGCCTCGGCTTTCACCCCTCTGCGCAGGCAGGCTCGGCGCTCCCCCGCACCGCGCGCTGGCGGAGCATCCTCCGTCCAGACTCTCCCGGGAGGCAGCGCCGAGGACCCGACGGCCCAGGACCACAAATCCAGAAACCTACGCGCCTCCTCGGCCGCGAAGCCCGATGCGCAATTACAGCGATATTGGGGCAACCTGCTTTTCTCACTTTCAGAGCTACTATAATACATTTCCCCTCTCGCTCAAAGCCAGACGTTATGTTGGGAAAGCTGCTTGACTTAATCTTTAAAATAATCCCGTGCACATCGTAGCCGGCACCGTCCGGCCGAGCGGCCCGGGAGAGTTGGCCTTGGCTGGGAGTGACTCTTGTTTTGTGCCTGAAGAGAGCGAGGAAGAATGTGAGGGCAGAGCATCCTGTTGAAAATCATCCAGAGCAACAGTAGAAAGAATTTTGTGTTGCCTTGTTTTGTTTCTACTGACCGTTTTTTTCCCCGGTGAAATGCTATTTTGGTTAAAAGAAGAAATGGCCCCCCAGGAGCTCACCCGGCGCCTGGCCTCAGTGATCACCCATGTCGGTAAGTGAAGCTTTTTTTCCTCTTGCATTTTATTGATGGAGGGTGGGTGTGTAGTCTGCAGCCTGCTCTCCCCCTCTCCTCACCCGCAGCCCATGGGGCGCGTGCCTTGGCTGCTGCTTGGGGCTGTTAGTAACAGGCATCCCTGGGGGCGCGGCGCTCGCGGCCCAGGGGTTCCCACCTCTGGCGGGGTGGGCCAGGCCGTGGGCAGGTGCCTTCATCAGGCGGTTGTCAAGTCTGTTGAGCCCTAAACTGAGGGCTCCTGGGCTGTTACCCTCCGTTACTCGCTTCTGACCACGAACGGAGGTGTGGGGAGTTGTGTCGTAGTTTATATAGTAATGGGAAAGGAGAGGGAACAGGAGGAACGAAGGCCGGTGCTTTCCAGCAGAAAGTACCGCCCAACCGCTGGAGGCTTGTTCACCAGAGAGTATAGTGAAATGCGTGTTGTTCCCCCAGCCCTTCCCTGGACCTCCCCAAATAAAGACACTTCAGGTTGAAAGCCTTTGGATGGAGATGACTAGAATTACTGGGGTGATTTTCTCTGTTGCTCACTGCACTTTGAAACCCTTCCATGAACGTGAATCAGTTTTCGTTGATAAAGTCAGTAAGTTTTTACCTCAGTGTTCCACCCATTTGTTAGAACTGCCTTCTTGGTATTTATTTGTCAAATCATGATTCAGTTAGTGGGCCATCATTGCTCTTTGAGCATCCTAGTCCAGTGTGTTTAGTACAAGAATGATGTACATCTTGAATGATGCACATGTGGGGATGTATTTTGTGAAGGTGACTCATATGGCAAGGCCCAGTTTGGATGATTGCGTCTTCAAAAAATGTTTCTGATGCCGAATGTGGCCACTGAACTGGTTTTCCTGTAAGAGAAAAGGTCAGTAGAATCCTACCAGGGAGGGTGAATGTGAAATATTGCTGAAAGCAGGATGAAATAAGAAGAAAAATGCATTCTAATAAAACAGAATTTGGAGTGTGAAAAATATATTTCAATTTTTAGCATTTAGCATAGGATGCTAGAATGATTGTGCTAAATATTATCCTGTGCATGGAATTGTGGTGTAAGAGAAAGATCAGTGAACTTGGGGTATGACCGGTTGCATTTAAAACCTTCCCTGGATAAGTCATTCAACCTCAGGCTGAAAAACGGGGATTTAAATAATTCCTTCTTACCCAGCTTCAAGGCTATTTGTAATACAATGTGGGTGAAAACACTGTGTACTCTGCGAATGTGTTATTGGTCAGATCTCTGGGCCCTGTGTCACTAAAGATCTTGGGCAGGTCACTGGGCCTCTCTCATCTGTTAAATAAGGAGGGAGAGCTGGATGATTATTAAGTTCACGCCTGTTTCTCTGGATGGAGATCTCGTAGATTTGGTAGGCAATATTCCTTGGCTAACACTAGTCTGCCTGTGGGACCCAAGCTGTGGTATTTTTTGCCCATCTTGCTCCCTTCTTTCTTCCATAGTCAGCTCCACGCAGGATGCAAACATGAATTTGTGTAGTTTCTGCCCCCAGAGAACTTCTGCTGACCCCTGGCATTTGTGTGCTTTGCAGCATTCTGTCTCCTGTGAAATCTGATCTCACAAACCTGTGCAATAGGTGGAGCATACATTATTATCCCCATCTTACAAATGTAGGAATTGAGACTTAGGAGGTTCGTCTTTTTTTTTTTTTTTTTTTTTTTTTTTGGAAAACAACAACAACAAAAATCCACACACACCACAAACCAAAAAAACAGGCATCCATCATCTAATCAGCTCGGGCCGGGACTCGAACCGCTGTTGCTCAGAGCTCAAACTCTTGAGCGAGCTCTTAACCAACTGAGCCACTCGGCCGGCCCAGGAGGTTCGTCTTTTAAGGTTTCAGGGGTAAGTGGTAGTCTTGGGACCAGAAGGCAGCTCTTTAGATGCTCTGTTTGGGGAATCTCACTGAGGGGTCTCTAACCTTGCAACAGCCTCTGCCTTCATGGGGAGTTGCATTGAGTAGCCAGTGAAGCTTCTGCTAGGGTGGGTTGGCTCTGCATTTGACTGTTTTTTTCAGAAGGTTCCTTGGGGAGCAGCTTCTGAAAGGTGTGCTCATGAGTTGGAGAATGGTTGAGAAGTGGTTTAGAACATTTCCCCTGGTCCTATCCTAGACACTCATCTGGGTAACAGTACTGCACGTCCATGTTCACTCTGCCATCTCTGACCCTCAGCCAGCTCCTCCTCCAGCCTGGGTTTCTGCTCTTTCCACAGTCCCTGAAATTTGCTTCTCATGGTCTCTGATATTTGACACTTCAGGTCTGGGTCCTGTTGATTCAGTTTCTGAACTATCTCACGAGTTTCTTTCCTCATGTTTATTCCCATGGCTGCCTGCCTCTGATCAGCCTCTGGACTTTATTTCCTCCTGACTAACCATTGTGCAAGCCTCTTTTCTCTCCTGTGTTTGCCTCTAACCTATACCAGGAATAAAAGAACCCACTAAGAACACAGCACTTGTGTATTCTAAAACCTTTAATAATACGCTTACATAGTCATTCTCTGTAGACTGGAGTACAAGCTCTTTACTATTTGGCACCCTTCTAGTCTTATCTCCCAATACTTGATATTTCTACACCTATGGTTGGTCAACTTGGGCCGTTCAGCGCTTCAGCTTTGTTCCACTATATTTTCCAACTCTCTTTCCACTGGTAAACGTTTGCTTTCCCTCCACCTGGAATGAACCTTTAATATATTTGTCCTCATAGAAATAGTATACACCTTTCAAGCCCAGTTCAGTACTTCTCTCCAGGTACTTTCTCTGATCCTACCAGTGGGAAATAATGACTCCTGTTTTTGATTTCCCATGTAGTTTTTTTCTACTCACACGATACCTCTCATACTCTTCCTTGTATCATGGTTCGTTGCTTATTTGTGTGCTTCTACACTCATCATTGCTTATCTGTGTGTCCTAGCACAGGGCCTTCCTCTAAGGAGATGCAAAATAAATGTTTGCTGAGTAACTGAATGATTTATTGTGCTTTGGAATGGTTGAGTAATGTCAGGCAATTTTTACACTTTTAAGGACAGCTCTGAAATATTTGTGGATAACTCTCTTGCCTCCTAACCCCCATTTTCAAGTTGACATTAAGCCCTTCAAGTGTTCTCCGTATGATGTGGTTCACTGGAGGGACCTCTTCTTTGGATTTTGTTAGTTTGTCAGGGACCCTCATAAACTATGCAGTTCACATGTGAACAGTGTCCAGATGTGCTTTTACACATGCAGGACAAGTAGGACTATCTTCTCCCCTTTATTCTGGACTGTAGAACTACATTTGTTCAATTACAGAATTTCAGAATCAGAAAAGAGTTGTTTGATTTTCTCCACTGCATCCCTTTCAATTCTTGAATCCTCTCTGCAACTTTTGCTGTATAGCTTTTATATGCAGAGGTGCTGCCTAAGTACACATGAAACATGGACTTTCTACTAATGCACCTCAGATTGCTCTAGGATTTTGACAGACAGCACACATATGGCTCACATGGGGTTTCTAGTCAGTGGAAAACCTTAGTCATCCAGCTGGGTTGGTGTCAGTAATCCCCCACGAAGGTTTCACATTTCCAGTCCAGCTCACTGTCCCACCTTGTCATCTCATATTAGAAGTAATGCTTTTGATCTTACTCTATCATTGTTCTAAAATAGTGTCATATGTTTGGTTATGCCCGGTGGAACTATAAGGCAGAAGAGAATATCCTTTGAAACAGTTCTTATATAATTGGAGATTGGATTGGTGGCTGTTTTGGTGACAAAAGCTGTAGGATTTTGACTTGTAACCCAAGTCACTACTTTTACGATGATACTGGCATTGGTAACATGCAACTAGAAGAAAGCTAAACTCAGAAATTCAGCCCACGACTCATTATTCTACAATGGAGTAGTGGCTAAAATGCTTAGGATCCATGCCTCAGCTGTTGGTGCTAAAGGGAGGACCCAATTGGAGTAGAGTATTTGCTGCTTAGGTGGGAGTGCACTCAGCGGGGACAATTAGACAACCTGGAGTAGTGACTTCATCTACCCCAAAAGTGAATTAACTATATCTGAGCCATTTTTCTATTAGACTATCTAGACACTGTGCCTAAAGCTTATGGATTCTTCAAGGTCTATTAAAAATGTTTGAACACTAAAAGAAATTGATGGACAACTAAATTGCAAAGTGCAAAATAAAATTTAAGAAATTATTATATATCTACAAAAGCTCTCTTTCCCACAATAAAATAATATTTTCTTGCATAAAACAATAATGCATAGTTGGAATTTCACTATAGGTGCTCCTCGACTTATGATGGGGTTATGTCCTGATAAACCTATTGTACGTTGAAAATATAAATTAAAAAATGTGTTTAATACACCT